TATCACCAATAGATAGGTCATCCAAACAAAAAAAATCAATAAAGAAATTCTAGAACTAAATCACACCAAAGATCAAATGGACCTAGCCGATGTCCACAGAATATTTCAACCAACTTCTGCACAATATACATTCTTCTCAGCAGCCCATGGAACCTTCTCCAAAACTGATCATATCTTAGGGCACAAAGCAAGCCTCAGCAAATATAAGAAAATAGAAATAATCCCATGCATTCTATCTGATCACAATGCATTAAAAGTAGAAATTGACAACAAAAACAACAGTAAAAAACATGGAAACAATTGGAAGCAGAACAACACATTGCTCAATGATCAATGGGTCACTGATGAAATAAAAGAGGAAATTAAAAGGTTCCTGGAAGTTAATGAAAATGAAAACATGACCTACCAAACCTATGAGACACAGCAAAGGCAGTCCTCAGAGGAAAGTTTATAGCCATGAGTGCATATGTTAAAAGGACAGAAAGAAATCAATGACCTAATGCGACATCTCAAACTCCTAGAAAAACAAGAACAAGCAAATCCCAAAACCAGCAGAAGGAGAGAAATAATAAAAATAAGGGCTGAAATTAACAACATAGAATCAAAAAGACCCATTCAAAGAAAAAATGAAACAAAAAGCTGGTTCTTTGAAAAAATAAATAAGATTGACAGACCCCTGGCAAACCTGACTAAAATGAGGAGGAAAAAAACCCAAATCAGTAAAATCAAAAATGCAAAAGGGGAGATAACAACAAACACCATGGAAATCCAGGAAATCATCAGAGACTACTTTGAGAAACTATATTCTAATAAATTTGAAAATCTTGCAGAAATGGACAAATTTCTAGATACTTATGACCATCCAAAATTGAATCAAGAGGACATTAATCACCTGAATAGATCTATAACACAAAATGAAGTTGAAGCAGCAATAAAGAGTCTCCTAAAAAAGAAAAGTCCAGGACCTGATGGATTCTCTGCTGAGATCTATCAGACATTTAAAGAACTAATACCAACTATCCTTAAACTGTTCTACAAAACAGAAAGGGAAGGAAAACTGCCTAACTCATTTTATGAAGCCAGTAGTACACTCATCCCAAAACCAGACAAAGACACCTCCAAAAAGGAGAACTACAGGCCAATCTCCTTAATGAACATCATGCAAAAATCCTAAAAATAATGGCAAACCAAATCCAGCAACACATCAGAAAGATCATTCACCAAGAACAAGTCAGCTTCATCCCAGGGATGAAGGGTGGCTCAACATACATAAATCTATAAATGTAATACAGCACATCAATAGAAGCAAAGACAAAAACGACTTGATTATCTCAATAGATGCAGAAAAACCTTCAATAAGACCCAAACCCATTTCATGATAAAAGCTCTAAGAAACTAGGAATAGAAGGAATGTACCTCAACATTGTAAAGGCTATATACGACAAACCTACAGCCAACATCATACTTAATGGTGAAAAACTGAAACCATTTCCTCTAAAATCAGGAACAAGACAAGGGTGCCCACTATCCCCACTCCTATTCAACATAGTACTGGAATTCCTAGCCAGAGAAATTAGGCAGAAGAAGGAATAAAAGGAATACAAATAGGTAAAGAAACCCTATTACAGGCTATATGATTCTATACCTAAAGACCAAAAAAACACTGCCCTAAAACTCCCACAATAGACAGCTACAGCAAGGTGGTAGGATACAAAATCAACTAACAAAAATCATTAGCTTTTCTATACACCAATAACGAACAAATCGAGAAAGAATATATGGAAACAATTCCATTTACAATAGCCTCAAAAAAATCAAATACCTAGGAGTAAACTTAACAAAGGATGTGAATGACCTCTACAAGGAGAACTATAAACCCCTAAAGAAAGAGATCGAGGAAGACTACAGAAGATGGAGAGATCTCCCGTGCTTATGGATTGACAGACTCAACATAGTAAAAATGGCTATACTACCAAAAGCAATATACATGTTTAATGAAATTCCCATCAAAATCCCATTGACATGCATCACAAAGACTGAAAAATCTACCCTAAAATTCATTTGGAAACACAGAGACCACTAATAGCCAAGGCAATACTCAGCAAAAAGAGCAATGCTGGAGGTTTCACAACACTCGAATTCAAACTATACTATATAACCCATAGCAATAAAAAGATCATGGTACTGGCAAAAAACAGACATGAAGACCAGTGGAACAGGATAGAGGACTCAGATATGAATCCACACAGCTATGCCCAACTTATTTTTGACAAAGGTGCCAACAATACATGATGGAGAAAAGACAGTCTGTTCAACAAATGTTGTTGGGAAAAGGGGTTATCCATCTGCAAAAAAACTAAAACTAGATCCATGTCTATCACCCTGTGCTAGTATCAACTCAAATTGATCAAAGACCTTAGTATCAGACACTAAACTCTGAAGTTAGTACAGGAAAGAGCAGGGAATGCTCTGGAAGTAATAGGTATAGGCATGGACTTCCTCAATAGAACCCCAAGATCTCAGCAACTAAGAGAGTGGATGGACAAATGGGACTTCATAAAACTAAAAAGTTTTTGCACAACAAAAGACATGGTCTCTAAACTGAAGAGACCACCCACAGAGTTGGAGAAAATATTTGCTGGCTATACATCAGCTAAAGGACTCATAACCAGAATATACAGGGAACTTAAAAAACTAAACTCTCCCAAAAATCAATGAACCAATAAAGAAATGGGCAACTGAACTAAACAGAACTTTTTCAAAAGAAGAAATTCAAATAGCCAAAAAACACATGAAAAAATGCTCACCATCTCTGGCCATACAGGAAATGCAAATCAAAACCATACTAAGATTCCACCTCATCCCTGTTTAATAGCCATCATCAAAAACACCAACAACAACAGGTTTTGGTGAGGATGTGGGTAAAAAGGAATCCTTGTGCACTGCTGGTGGGAATGCAAACTAGTGCAACCACTCTGGAAAAAAATATGGAGACTTCTTAAAAATCCAAACATAGATCTGCCATATGATCCAGCAATCCCACTCCTGGAGATATACCCAAAGGAATGTGACACAGGTTACTCCAGAGGCACTTGCACACCCATGTTTATTGCAATACTATTCACAATAGCCAAGTTATGGAAACAGCCAAGATACTCCCCTATTGACAAATGGATTAGGAAAATGTGGTATTTAGATACAATAGAATTTTACTCAGCCATGAAGAAGAATGAAATCTTATCATTTGCAAGCAAATGGATGGAACTGGAGAACATCCTTCTGAGCGAGGTTAGCTAGGCTCAGAAGACCAAAAATCATATGTTCTCCATCATATGCAGACTTTAAATCTAGAGCAAATGCAGCAATGTTGTTGGACTTGGGCCACATGTTAAGGGGTGAGCACATACGGAAGGAATGGGGATAGATGGGAAACCCAAAACTTGAAAGTGTTTGATGTCTGCACTGAAGAGGAAATAATACAGAAACCTCAAAATGACAAGTAGTGAAGAGGTCAGGTAGAGATGAATCAACTTGGGTTGTAACACATTTCTACAAGGAAGCAATGCGAGGAATCTCTCTGTATAGCTATCCTTATCCCAACTAGCAGAAACGCTTTGTCTCTCTTACTATTGCTTATGTCTTCTCTTCAACAAAATTAGAGATAAGGGCAAAACAGGTTCTGCCTGAAAGCAAGCGGGAAGTGGGGGGTAGAGGGGGGGCAGGAGGCAGGGGGGAAGAATGGCCCAAACAATGTATGCACATGTGAATAAGTGAATAAAATTTTTTTTTAAAAAAAGAATTTCTAGAAACACAAAATCTTATTTAAATAATTTGCAAATGACTATAATGTATAGCCAGGGCTAAAAATAGCCAGGGCTAAAAACCGTTGTCCCAACCTGGAGCCATTTAGCAATGTCTGGAGATATTTTTGGTTGTCACAACTGAGATACTTCTGAAATCTAGTTTGGAGAAAAACTGCTCAACATCCTTCCAATGTACAGGATACCCAAGTACAACACCACTCCCAACAAAGCATTAGCTGATCCAAAATGTCAATAGTACTGATGTTGGGAAACTTTGGTATAGTTCATGCTTTGATTTAGCTTTGCCTCTTCCATTTGAAATGTCCCTTAACAAAAACACCTTCATGGAAATCAAAAAGGGAGTATACAGTGAATTTTATTTTCAGGATGTGATTCAGCAGATGATGTATGCAACTGAGAATATGGATCCCCCAAGTGAGTATACCAGGTTTCTTCTGAAAGCTAAGCACTGAGACTCCTCAGTCTTTTCCTAGTGATGCTCTAATCTTCTGAGATTGAGTATAATCTGACAATTATGGGTAACCAACAAGAGATGCAGAGAAATAATCTTAGGAGGTTTTTATATTCAAGTTTCAGTTAACTAGATAGTTACTTTGTATTTTTGGCAACATTAAATGTAATATTTGGTTAGATGCAGTGACTCACACCTGTAATCTCAGCTACTCAGGAGGCAGAGATTATGAGGATCACAGTATGAAGCCAACCTGGGCAAAAAGCTAGTAAGATCCCCCCTCTCAAAAAACAAGCTGGAGAGCTGCATGTGGTGGCAGATTCCCTATAATTCCAGCTACTGCCAGAGGCATAGGCTGGAGGATCACAGTCCTGGCCAGCTGAGGCAAAAAAGCATGAGAGCTGAAGCAAAAAGGGCCAAAGGCATGACTCAGCTGCTAGTGTGCACCCACCAAATGCAAGGTCCTGAGTTCGAACCCTGCCCCTGCCCCCCAAATGCCACCCCTCTTTTATATTATAAATATAAAATATTAATATTTATTCAAATATATTTAATGTATTTAATAATATATTATCTTTTATATTTATAACATAAAATATATTTATTTATATAAACTTATAGATATGTTTGCTTCAGTGTATGCTCTTTTGGAATATCCATATTAATTTACCTCGATGTATATTCTTTTAGAATAATTCTATTAATGTTTTGCATGATTTTTACAGTATAAAGAAGAAACAGGAGTATGAGATGGAAATTCAATCTTTACTGAAGTTGAAGCAAAAGAATGCCATTTGTCTCAAGGAGCTCTACAAAGAGGCTTACCGCATTGGTGCTTTTTTTGTCGGAACGAAATATAAAACGGATGAATTAGAAGAAAAAATAGCTGAAACAAGAAGAAAATTCAAGGTGGTGTGTCTTGTGTTGTTAATTATGCAAAAAGAGTAATTAGCCTTAATTTTATTGAGTTAATCTTTATTGACAGTTAGATTTTAACTTGAGGGTTATTAGTCTTTTTAATACTTTATTTTTATTTAATTTTATTTATTTATTGCAGTGGTATCAAATCCAGAATCTTGTGCATGTTAGGCAAGTGCTCTACTAACTGAGTTACTCCTTCACCCCGTTAATATTCTTTTAAAACAAAATCAATTCCGATAAATAAGAAGAAAATCATATCTTTCCAAAGGCCCAGCTTACATAGAAGAGGAAAAGGGTCCATTATAGTTGATCACCTTTGTATCTACCTTTTGCTATTAATGAACATAAACCACTTGGAGCACCAGGAATGTGGGCTTGGTACAGTTCCATCCTGCACATCTGCCTGTGGTAGGAAAAAGGGATTCTGCAACATGTTCTTGTACCCTTTGTAACATATGAATAAGACATACCTACACCAGGCTTGCAAGTTATTGAATTCCAGAGTACCAGCAATTTTCAAACTACAGTACTGAAAAACACCTGCTTAAAGGCCTCAAATCCACTCCTAGATGAGCAAAATTCTGAATGGCCACTCCCTGCCATTGCTGCAGAGTCAGTCCCATCCTTTTGCACCTGAGGGACCACTGGAGCAGTCTACTCCATCCATCATCGTACATCGCATACTCACGCTTCTCCCATCTTTACCATTTTCTTATTGAAGATTTATGAGCATAAAGTTACCTATGAGGCTTTGTCAAAAATTAGGTGGGTGGAGTTGCATGGGTTGATATCCAGGTCCTCTATTCTGTTCCACTGGTCTTCTATCTGTTTTAGTGCCAGCACCATGCTGTTTTTATTGCTATGGCTCTGTAGTATAGTTTGAAGTCAGGTATTGTGATACCTCCAGTGTTGCTGTTTTTGTTTGGTATTGCCTTGGCTCTTCATGGTCTTTTGTGCTTCTAAACAAACTTTAGGGTTGATTTTTCAATTTCTGTGATGAAGGCCATTGGGATTTTGATGGGAATTGCATTGAATGTGTAGATTGCTTTTGATAATAGCCATTTCATTTCATGGATTCTACCAATCCATTAGCATGGGAGATCTCTCCATCTTCTTTGATTTCTTTCTTCACTGGTTTATACTTTTCCTTGTAGAGGTCTTTCACATCCTTTGTTAAGTTTATTCCTAGGAATTTTATTTATTTTTGAGGCTATTGTAGATAGAATTATTTTCCTATATTCTTTCTCAATCTGTTCACTGTTGGTGATAGAGATGCTACTGATTTTTGTTTTTTTTTTTCATTTTTCTTTTATTATTCATATGTGCATACAAGGCTTGGTTCATTTCTCCCCCCTGCCCCCACCCCCTCCCTTACCACCCACTCTGCCCCCCTCCCGCTCCCCCCCCCTCAATACCCAGCAGAAACTATTTTGCCCTTATCTCTAATTTTGTTGTAGAGAGAGTATAAGCAATAATAGGAAGGAACAAGGGGTTTTGCTGGTTGAGATAAGGATAGTTATACAGGGCATTGACTCACATTGATTTCCTGTGCGTGGGTGTTACCTTCTAGGTTAATTGTAAATTGACAAATTGTAAATTTTTGTAAATTGATTTTGAATCCTGCTACTTTGCTGAAGCTGCTTATGGTGTCTAGGAGGGTTTTTTTTATTTTTTGAATCTTTTTGATATAATATCATGTCATCTACAATTAGGGATGGAGAAAAGACAGCCTCTTCAACAAATGTTGCTAGGAAAACTGCACATCTGCATGCAGAAAACAGAAACTAGAACCATGTCTGTCACCCTGGACAAGTATCAACTCAAAGTGGAGTGAGGATCTTAACATAAGACTTGAAAGTTTGAAACTAGTATAGGAAAGAGCAGGGAATACACTGGACTTAATAGTCAAAGGCAGTGACTTCCTCATTAGAACTCAAATGGCCCAGTAACTAAAAGAAAGGATCGACAAGTAGGACTACAACAAAAGATATGATCTCTAAATTGAAGAGGCTGCCCACAGAACTGGAGAAAATATTTGCCAGCTACACATCTGACATGGGATTGATAACAGGGAGCTCAAAAGACAAAACTCCAAAAAAAAAATCAATGACCCAATGAAGAAAAGGATAAAAAAACTGCACAGAGTTTTCTCAAAGGAAGAATTCCAAATGGCTAAAAGAACACATGAAGGAATGTTCACCATCCCTGGCCATAAAGGAAATGCAGACCAAAACCATGATTCCACCTCATTCCTGTTAGAACGGCTATCATCAAGAACAGAAACAACAACAAATGTTGGTGAGGATTTGGGGAAGAAGGAACCCTCATACATTGCTGGTGGGAATGTAAATTAGTAAAGCCACTACAGAAAACAGTATGGAGGCTCCTCAAAAAATGAAAAAAAGGCCAGCCATATAATCCAGCAATTCTACTCCAAGGGCTATATCTGAAGGAATGTAAGTGAGGTTACAACAAAAGCGTTTGCACACCCATGTTTATAGCAGCATTATTCACAATAGTAGGACTTGGAAACAGCCAAGATGCCCCACTACTGATGAATGGATTAAGAAAATGTGGTATTTACATACAATGGAGTTTTATTTTGCAACAAAGAAATGAAATGTTTTTGCGTGTAGGTAAATGGATGGGACTGGAGAACAGCATCTTAAGGGAAGTTAGACAGGTTCAGAAGGCCAAAGCTACATGTTTTCTCTCATATATGGAATATATAACTAATATAAAAAACAGGTCACGCTAAGGTGAAGTCACACACGAGAAGGGGAGGATAAAAAAAGAAAGTTAAGGAGGTGAATATGGTTGATGTACTCTCTGCAAGAATAAATATAGAATTTTTAAACTAGTTGAAACTACCATAAGAAAGGGACTAAGGTAGAAGGAAGAAAAGTAGAGGAGATGAACCAAATCAGGCCATACTGCATATATACATGGAAATGCCACAAGGAAACTCCCTGTGTAGCTGTGTGAAACAAGTAAAAATGTCAGTTTCTTCATTCTCTTTTTTTCTTATACAAAATTGGAACAGGTCCCGCCTGGGGGAGTTGGTACCAGTGGGAGCAGGGAGGAGGTGAGGAAATGATGAAGGAAGGTGAATATGGTCCAAATACTGTGTACACGAGTATGTAAATGGGAAAATGATACCTGTTGAAACTATTCCAGGAATGGGGGAGAGGAAGACGAAGAATGGTGGGGGAGGTGAATTCAAATATATATTTGACACATTGTGAGAACTTTTGTAAATGCCACAGTGTACCCCCAACCCAGCACAACAACAAAAATAAATATTAATTGCATTAAAGTAGAGTGTTAATTTTAAGGTCCTCTGATATTCCAGTGTTCTCTTTTGGTCTTCAAAGAGGAAAGTTTAACACAACCATTAATCAAAAAAAAAAAAAAAGTTGCCTAGGCAATGTACAACCTGTACTCCACGTCATAGCTCTCTTACTGGCACTATCTTTAGTAAGTAAGTCCCCTGGAACATGTAAACTTAAGACAAGTAGATTGTCTGCTAGTAAATGTTTCTGAACTGAGAGACTAAGACATTGTTCCCATCTTGAATCCAGCTGTTCAGTTGACTTGGTGTACTGTCTATTTGACTCTCACTAGGGATATTCAATAGATTCCTAACATCTCTCCTATTTCAAATTTAATAAGCAAGGTAAACATTTTCATTCTTGACCCGCCTCAAGAATAAATTTTCCCAATTGGGTTAGGAAATAAGTCAATGAAAGTGTAATGCATATGGAATTATGATATTAATGGAATGAACAGAAATACCACAAATAATCTTAAGAGTGTGACATTACACTATGAAATTTTGAAAGCTCTCACCAGATGTGTTCTTCTTTATATGTACATATTTTTTGTGATACTGAGGTTTGACCTCAAGGCCTCACTCTTGCTAGGCAGGCGCTCTACTACTTGAGCCACTCCACTAGCCCAAATGTGTTCTTCTTAACACTTCAGTTGAAAGCTTCTGAACAAGCTGCAAGATTGTGAGAGGATTTTTCTTGAACACAATGTAATTCTGGTACAAAAGTGGTACATCTGGTCACTCTAGTTCCATGACAATCATAGTGCTAGAATCAAGAAGAAACAGTAAAAAGGATGGAACAGAGTAGAAGGGAAGACTGTGCTATACATGCCTATTTTATGTTGAAATCTATTAATTTTAGCCTTCACTGTACTGTGTATGTGTTATTAACACATACATTTTGTGAGTGAAGTGGTTTGCCCAAAATAGCGTAGCTTGTAGATAACTATGTAGAGTTTGAAGGCTGGGGATCTGGTGCTGGGCTTGGTATAGTCAGTAAGACACAAGACATATACTTTGACTAACAAAGATTTAGTCAAGCTCAAAACTTGAAAATAATCGTATTAAGAGGTCATTTTTCATTCTAAGAAATAATGTACCAGATTCTTAGAATGTTGTAGTTCATGGTATTCTGGTCCTTAACTTCGTAATCTAGAGATCTGTCACTTCCCTTGAATACTTTTTCAAATTCTTCAACCATTCTCAAACTGTTCTTCAGAGAAAAATCTTCAAATGCTACAGTTGTCCTCCTTTATATGTGGTTTTGCTTTTAACAATCTCAGTTACTCACAGACAGCCAATGTCTGAAAATATTATATGAAAAATTCTAGAAAGAAACATAAGTTTTTGTGTACCATTCTGAGTGACTTTGTGAAATTTTATGCCGTCCTGCTGTGTCTGTCTCACCATGGACAAAAATCATCACTTTGTCCAAGATATTCATGCTGTCTTGCTACCTACCTGTTAGTCACTCAATAGCTATCTCGATTATCAGTGAAGCTTGAACACGAGTAATTCTTATTTTACTTAATAATGGTCTCAAAGCATAACAGGAGTGATGCTTGAAAAAAATTTTTACAATACATTGTTCTATTTTATTATTAGTTATTTTCAATGTCTTACTCTACTTCATGTATAAATTGAACTTTCTATGTCT